GATTGAGCTTCAAAAAGTAAAGCTCCCATGGAATTGCACTGCAGCTCAACTCGGCTCCCATCTTTCTGGTATAACCGTCCAGCAAGCGGATAAAATTCCACCAAGGCTTCGCTTAGTGAGTCTTTCAAAACCTCAGTGGCATCTTTTAGCAATTCTGGACTTTCTGGCTTGTAAAAATGGACGCTGTTTGCATGAGTAATGGGTTTACGTTGATCACACTCAGATAAAAACATTACTTTTGTAGGGATTGGTTTTGCTGGTTTGACAATGTGAGAGGCTATCAAGTTAACCATTGTGAGAAGGAAAGAGAATAATGGGAGTGAGAATTGCAAGAAGGAAAAAAGTATGGCAGCTGGGAGACTTTGTGAGAAGGAAAGGATATTTTGAGGGTGAGATTTTGGCTGTGGTAGCAGTGTCGCCAGCGTATGCTTATATAGACCCAAGATTTATATAACATCGCATGTGAAAATTGTGAAGACTTGCTTTACATGTAGGGATGGCAATTTTCTATACAATTTGAAAACATCACATGAACTTAATACGAAACTAATGGGCTTGAATTGAAATTTCGCAGGTTTGGATCAGAATCGGGTCGAACCTAATGAAACTGAAAAGAAAACAGGTCGAATTTAGGTCACCCATGGGTTGATCCAATAACTCGTTTATGAATTAAAAAGAATTTAATAAATATAAAATATTTTATCTAACTAAACTAAGTTATTTCTTTTTTTTTCCAAGGCATTAATCATTAATCCTAAATGAATTTGTATAATTTGTGTGAAGTTGGAATTAATATATTTGGATAAATAATATATTACATTATTTTCTACTTTTATAGTGTTTCAATTTATTTTAGATCTGGTTTGGGATATACACTTTTACAGTGTTTTAATTTATTTCAGATCTATTTGGAATTATTTTATGAGACTTTTATTACTTCGTTATGTAATTAGCCTTGTGCAAATTGGTTCTGTTAGAAACTATAGTGGATATATAGTAAAATTAAAATTGATGTGTTTCAAAATCATATGATGTCCAAAAATTTCAGGTTTAGGTCAAGTATTCTACCCTTTGCAGGTTGTCGGGTCGTGATTAATATCAGTAGGTTTTCTGTCGTATACCTGCGATCTCAACCCAATCCGTTACCCTTATTTTGACCGATTGCCACGTCTATTGATAAGTGTATATTTTACATGTTTTAGCGTATTTTATTATTTAATTTGGTGTGTTTTAGTAATGTTTTTTAGCTAATTAAACTAGGATCTTTAGTGAAACGTATATTTTTGTGGTTTAAGTGGTAAAAATTACATTTCTATGGATTAATCCACCTGTAAAAAAAAAATCTTTACTTTGTGGTTTTATCAGAGAAAATGCTCAAAAGTCTAGAGATGCCAAATTGCAAAGAATGGAATCTGTGGCGATTAATTATTTATTTTCAATGGTCTTTAGTTCTTAAATTGTATCCAAAACTAATTTCCTCAACATAACCATTTTTTTCACTTAAGAGTATTCCAACCTTTTGGCTAGACTAATCCCCCAAGGCTGTGTAGAATTTTACTCCAAAGATACACAGCAAGGTAGCACACGAAGATCGATCACGAACTTGCTGGTACTCGACATAACCATTTTTTATATAAAAGTATTTTTGTAACTAAATTTGATCCTTTGATGGATACCTTCTTGGTATATGTACATCAACATTGACCATTAAAACAATAACTACTATTGAGTGTGTTTCGAAAGAGTATTATTTGAAATAATTACTGTAATACTTTTTGTGATATGGTGTATGTGAGATAAAAAAAATAATTGAGAATATAAAATGGTGGATTGAAAAATGTGTTTATGATGCAAGCAAAATATTATGTGAAATAATTCAGCAATCCAAACACACTCATTAATATTGGAACCAGGTAATGCCACGTACGTGCTTTTAAACTAATATATTTTAAGAAATTACTTTGGTTGTTGCAATTATAGTAAATGTCTTACCACACTCACAAGAAATTACAAAAGCAAAAAGTTCAACGAAATATTCAAGAACCAATTTAGTTCATCTCATTAGACGCAATAAGCAAAGACCTTTTCCTGCGTCTCCTTGCGGTCATCACAAAACCACGATACTCATAGCCCTAATTTAATCCACCAAGACGTATTTCGCTCGATTATGCACTTAGAAGTTCAACAAGGAGAAAAATTCAAGTAAAAACTGGTTTGTTTGTGTATGGTTTTAATGGAACCTCATAATAGGAGCAAGTGTATTTTTGATGTTTTCGTCCTAGGTTACTAGGCATGTAAACAAGACTAATCAAAATGAGCTAGCTGGCATTTTTGTTTATTTTAACAAGTTTAAAATTTTGATTTACATTTGATTTGTTAATTTTTCGAGTCTGACACCTTTAGGAAGTCAATCTCTAGTAACTTAAATTTCTTACAGCTGAATTTCAAGTTTCATCAATATCAAATCAATTTTAAAATCTTAATTACTACTAATTCAAGTCCACGTCCAACAGCATTAGTTGACAAACAAATTTTGAATGAACTGATTGAATAATCAATAACTTTGATTTGTATTTCAGCTAGATAATGACTTTAAGGGACTCTAGTCACTACAAGAAATATGCTTTTCAGTGACAAAAATTTATGTGACAACAAAAATCTTGTCACAGATAACCTAATTCAGTGACGACATTAGGTGTCATCACAGATGAGTACATCACAAGCATAATCAGTGACAACATTGGAAGTTGTCATTCTCAACTCGTCACGAAATAGTTGGCGCGCATCTCATTTGATGCCGCGGGAAATGAATTTATGACAACTCAAGTAAAGTCGTCACAAACACTCTCTCTACAGTGACAACATAACTTGTTGTCATTGAAAGTCTACCCGATTCCAATTTTGTGACAACTTTTTGCATCACTGTATACTACAGTATTTTCATCAAGTTTCACTAATTCTACAATGACACCCTAATTTTATTTTTTAGCCCCCAATTCTTTTATATTAGCAAAAGCACAGAAGATATGACACCCTAATATTATAATTTAGCCCCTATTCATTACGTATTAGCAAAATGCAAATGATATAATAACAAACTATTTTTAGATATTTGTAATTTTTGCTAAGTTGACATAATAGACATGTCTGAGCATAAAAATTTTTTCACGAATTGTTTATTATTACTTATAACAACCCCCAAAAATCAATAACTGAAATAATTTGAAAAAGTGTAATTGAATATAATTTGTAATCTAATGTTAGCACTGTGAAAGATTAGTATAACGTGTAATACATCATAAGTAATAATTATTTTCATATGGAATGGGTATATATGAAATTAAAATTATTCAGTAAAATATCTGTCGTGCAATAAGATTGAGAGTTGTAACACATTTAACAGAATATTTGATTACATGTTTCTTTTAATTTATTATAAAAACTAAGTAATAGACAAAGAGTAGGATAAGCATGAGTAAGAAGTGTTATACTGTATATAAGCGATTCTATGCATGTTAAATTTTTGAAACATGTTTTATTGTGTAAGTTTTATTGTAAGGTAATTTCTTAAATAATTTGTATATTGAGTTGTCCAAACCCAAAAAGATGTATATAGACACAAACAAGCACACATATATATACATGCACAAAAAAGAAACCAATATCAAATAATTTATTTGATATTTATAGATGAGATTAAGGAAAAAAAAAGAGATTAAGTATGAAAAAAGAAACCTGAAAAAAAAAATTGGCTAAAAAAAAAAAGAAAAAAGATGTATGAAGCTAAAGGCGTGAATCCTGGAATCTTAAAGACGTGCTTAGATGCCAAAAAAAAAGAGCGCCAGTCTGAAATCTGAAAGAGGCGCGAGGCGGGTGGCTGAAATCTCTACAAAACGACGTCGTTTTGGTTGTTCACACACAAACAAAAGTCTCGCCGCTTCTCTCTTCCAACACTTAGACAAATTTCATTCTCAGTCTTTCCTTCCTATGGTGAACTAACCCTTCCTTCCCGTGAGCAAGAAAAGCTGAGGGGGAAGCCTGAGAAAGGGCGGCTAGGTTTTAGAGGAGAAAAAGAGAAATAGAAGAACAGAGAAGCAGCTAGGGTTCTTGGAAGGGAGGCCTTGAGCGTGAAAAGAAAAAAAACAGAGTGAAGGAAGAGTGGCGGCTGACAGGAAGATCAGGAGAGAAAGACGCGGCAACGGACAGAGGAGGAAGAACCAGGTCACCACCAGTCCGCGTCCGCTCTGCTGTTGTCTGCCATCGCCAACACCGCGCACAACCTCCTGGGCTGCTGCCGTTCTCTGTAACACTAGATGAAGGCTCTCGGAGGAAGTCAGACCTAGTCATCTTCCAATTCCAACTCACCGTCTTCAGCTTCGTCATAATCGCTATCGCCACCGCTCAAGTAAGAGCACTATAAGTCGCCCCTTTTTCTTTGAATTTCAGTTCCTTCCCAAGTCCTCTAAGCATGTCTGCCATGGCTTCGTTTATTGCAATTGCCCCGTTGATTGTTCAAATTTTAGCATGCGCATGTTTATATCATGATTGAATTTGAAATCCCTTGTACTTCTGATGATTTTGGGGCCAACCGTGGCTTCATTTGAGCAAAGAATTGCTGGAATTTTTCATGTTCGTTTACTGTTTGTTGAAATGCCCAAGTGGTCTAACAGCAGGCCGTAACAGGGCATTCGTTCAATGCTCATTGCTGCATTTCCCTATCCATATTATTGACTCGAAAAGACTCCAGCAACCAAAAAAGCGATTTTATTCCAGAAAACGATAGGTCAAGTTTACTCAACTCACGATTTTATCATACGAAAAAACACTTTGAATAAAGCAAAGATTCAAAGTAGGCAACTGGACTTTATTTAGTTACAAAACAGTAGAAAAAGGACATGGTTTTGACGAATTTCTTTTTTTTTTAATGCCGGAAATATTCCAGCAGGTTGATACTGAACACCTGGAAAATCATGAGGCTGCTACCTTTTATATCCGTGACAATGCGTAAGGGAATAGGATCCTTCCATCTTCTTCTTTTTTTACAGTAAAGCAAAGCGTATACTACATGGTAATAGGAACCTGAGCTTATCCCGTCATCTTGATTCTTTTCTTTTCTTTTTTTTTTCCCCGAAGGGTATGACATGCTCTGCCCTACAAAATGGGAGCTATAGTTTTTTTCTTTCATTTCCTTTCTTTTGAGAAGACATGGTTTCATTAGTTTAGTATTATATTTCTGATCATATATCACTATCGGAATTGGTGATGGCTTAGGTGATGGCTCTGCAGCAGCAATTTTGGACGTTAAACATCCAAATTCTGATCTAGATCCAGATCCAGATTTGACTGAGGCTGCTTCAGGAGAGCAAAATTATTTTACTGAAGGTGTGCCTGATCGGGATGTTTGGCGTAACGGTTGTGGACAGAAGCTTTGCAATGACTTCAAGACAGCCGAAGAAATAATGAAAAGGAGGTAGCTGCCTATATTACTGGTTTAATTCTCCATTTCTCCTTTCTTCTTGTAAGATCTTAAAATCTCTCTTGGACTAAAAAAAATTAATGGAGAACTGCTCAAGAAGTTTTTTTTTTTAAATTCTCTTTTTGTCATCCTTACTTATGATTTGTTGGCCTTGTCCAATAGCTTCATACTTGGAATCTGCTTGCAATATTCCTGTTGGAAATTTTCTAATGTTTCAGTTTCATTTTTTATACCTTGTTCTCCTTTTCGTTGACATTAAAGTTGAATTTAATTTGATAATACTTGCATTATTAGGTTCGGTGGAAAGGGTCCTAGACATAAAGTGGACTATGCGCAATATCTGCTAGGCTGCTGTATGGCACTAATATGAATGTTGGTCCAGAATTTTACTTTTTCTCTGTATTAAACCTTATTTGCTATCTTTGTTCACACACGTATAAGTTGTCACTATCTTTGTCCAAATTTGATTCTTTCACCTTTGTTGCCTGTTAAAAACTGTTTGCTTATTATATGTTTGTCTTGGTTAATCTGAACTTTCTCATTAAAAATTTCCTTCTGTAGTGCAAACTTTTCTCTTCTTTAGCTTTAAGTAGCAGAAATTTTCATTTATAATGACCTTATGTAATATTTGAATTTGCTGTATTCAAATCAGAAGTTTGTTGTCTGTTTTAATATAGGGATGAACATGGACATCATGAGTATGAATCATATTTTGGCGATCAAAACACTGAAAGTCTGGTCTAGGTAAGAAACAATATTGAGTTGCATGCCCAAAGTTTTAAAAGGGAAAGGCAAAAATAAGGTGAAGAAAAGCAAGGAAGTAAAAGAACAAAACAAAAATTAAATAAATAAAGGAAAAGGGAAATGTATATGTAGCATGACTCTGCACCTCTATCAATGCAATTGATATCATTTTTCTATACTAGAAACCTATGATTGAATTGTGTAGTCCTGCATAGGTGTTGATGTTGTCACCTATTATATATGTGGCATTACTGGGTTTTTTAATTATTTGCAGACAATGGAAACTTTGGTTGCATCTGTTTCACTGGAGTCTAAAAGACTTGCTTTAGAGGATAAATCTGACAAGACAAAAGATCCAAAAAGACCTGCGCCCTCAGCAGGAGGATGTAGAGTTGAAGGTTTTGTACGGGTTAAGAAGGTAGGAATTACACCAATTTGAAGACAACCATACTTGGCATTTTTTCGTTTTGGTATAGCCACGATGCTGGATTTGATTTCTGTCCAAAACCCTTTATGCTTTAATTTCAAGAAAGAAAATGAAGTTGGCAGTGTAAAACAAGTTAAGACATTTGAGCCACTTGCGTAAATGTAAATTTTGCTTGTTGACTTTTTCTTCATTGAGGATTAGTAGTAATGTCGTAGAATTTCCACTTGCTGTTTAGTTTTTCTGTAGTCACCATGTTAAAAAATGATTGCTATGTCTTTGTTCACACACGTATAAGTTGTCACTATCTTTGTCCAACTTTGCTTTCCCTCCCCCCTCCTGAAAGTTTCACTGTAGTAAGGTGATTTTTTAATTGCAAAGTGTCTTTAATCAGTAAGTATTTGCTTACCCATTTTTCCTATCTAATCTTATCTGGTCATTTGGTGGCAAGTGGGTTGCAAATTCCTTGGATTTTAACAAAAACTATGATGCAAGTGTGTTTGAAACAACCATAAGGTTGTTTTATAAGGTTTAATGTTTCGTGTGTTTTTAGTTTTGTGTTTTCATCTTTTCCTTTGTATAAGTTTTAACATCTGAAATTCTTGTCAACTTTTTAAATGGAGGTAGACAAGACATTCATATAACTGGTGGTTACTTATGAATTTTTCATAACAAAATCCAGAGTGGTAGGAGGACTTCTCAGTGCATATGATCTGTCTGGGGATAAGGTTTTCCTTGAAAAGGCTCAGGATATTGCGGATAGGCTACTGCCTACATATGACACACCTTCTGGCATTCCTTATAACGTTATTAGCTTGGCTCACGAGAATCTGCATAATCCCGGATGGACTGGTGTAAGTTGATACATATGTTAATTTGTTTTCTGTTTCATGAAACATTTAGACTCAAGTTCATTGTCCAACTGTGACTTTTGCTATACTTTTAAGCAAAACAAAATTGTTGTGGGTCCTTTCAAGACTCAGCTGCACGATATAATAATAGCAATACCTGCCACAATAATTATTTGAATATTCCCTAATTCTTCACAATTATATAATGGCAATTGAGCTTTACATTGCTCTTATTAATCCTGGCTTTCTTTACATTTAAATCATGTATCTCCCAATCAACTTCTATATTTCTACTTCTCTGCATGAACTATTTGCATTGTCTCTGCTCATTGTCATGTCTATGCCTTGAGTATACATATGTATGACAAATTGTGTAAAACTTTACCTTTTCTCAGGTTGATAGTATTTTAACTGATTCTGGTACAGAGCAACTGGAGTTTATTGTTCTTTCTCAAAGGACTGGAAACCCAAAGAATCGGCAGAAGGTATCCAAAAACTAGCTCCTTACACTTTCAAGTAATTCGCTTGCTCATTCCCCCTTTTCCTTCTTCTGTGCATCTGAGAGAGACAAAAAGAGATGAACATTTTATGAAAGTTTTAAGAGTCAAAGTGTATATTAAGATTTTATGGTGCTCGAACAAGAGAGAATTTTGGCTGAGTTAGATAAGGATAGACCTTTTTTTCCCAATAAGTTTCTGACAGACAGCTGATGATTCATATCCATTACTTTCAGGTGGAGAATGTTATTTTATTTCTTAGCAGGACCTTTCCTACTGATGGTTTGCTTCCCATCTATGTTAATCCCCAGAGGGGCACAACATCCTATTCTACCATCACTTCTGGGGCTATGGGGGACAGATACAATCTATTCAATATGTTTACATTCCTTAGCAGTGCTTGCTTTGTAATTATCTCATAATCTATAGATAGCATTTGTTTTTCATTTAGGTCCCTTCAAAATTATCCTCCTGTATATCTCATTTCCATGGCTTTGAAAATATACTTTTTTCTTTTCTTTACTTTGTATTATTTGTAATTTGAATAATGGTAAAAGCTCTTCTTTTGGCAGCTTTTATGAGTATTTACTCAAGGTGTGGATACAAGGAAACAAAACTGCTTCTGTAAATCATTACAGGTAAACATTGGCATTTCTTTCCTTAGATATATCGATCTTTTCCCAAAAGGCATACTTTCTGCAAAGCATTCACATTTCTATTTTAATGTTTGTGTGTGTGTGTGTGTGTCTATATATATATATATAGACTTGTATCAAAGTGTGTCAGCTATCCTGAGAAAATATAGGTAAAAGAAACGTCACGTATATGGGATTAGAAAAATGTATTATGAGCTCAAAGCGAGAGACTAATGACATTGAAGTTTAATGTACATATTGCTTATTGCATTGTTGTTGAGCATGGAGTAGATTTCTTTACTTTGCTATCTTAAGTTCTTTTTCACACTTTGAGATAAACTTAGAATATCCTGGAGAAGTAACTCTTCTCATGAATCTGCAAGCAGAGAAATGTGGGAGACATCAATGAAAGGTCTTTCAAGCTTGGTTAAGAGAACTACCCCTTCATCCTTTGCATATATCTGTGAAAAGATTGGAAATTCCCTAACTGACAAGGTGACGTGTGAACTTGCAAGATTAAATATCCTAATTGTTTTGTGGAGGAGTAATTATTAATTTATAGTATTTGTCTTTCAAAATTATGTGCAGATGGATGATTTAGCATGTTTTGCTCCGGGAATGTTAGTTCTAGGTTCTTCTGGTTATGCTTCTGATGAGTCTCAAAAGTTCCTGTCACTGGCTGAAGAGGTGAATACAGTCTTTAAGAGATTCATAATTTCATGTTCTGTATAGGCCCCCTCAAACAGTTGTCATCGTGAAACTTTGATATAGTGTTGAATGGATGCTTAAGATTGTAGTCTATTAGACCACATTATAGGCTTGTTTAACTCCAATTGTGTTTGCTATCATAGGCCACAAAAGTTTCTCAATGAGTAAATAACCAACTCGTGGGATGCTCTTTCTTTTCTTGCTCTGTATTATATACTACATTGGTTCCATTTTTGCACCAGAAATGGTTTTGCAAAAAATGCAAGTTGACGGTTGCCATTGACTAGAGGCTTTGTGAGAAACGGCCAAAAAGAAACGGCCAAAAAGTATCAACAAAACTTAACTTGTGGAATAACTATACTAAAAAATATACTTTTCTAAATAAATTGTTATTTTTATTACTTCAAAACTGGACAGGGCATTTTATATTTCCATCGCGCGAAGCGCGTTCATGCCTCATAGTATATATATATGTATTTGGGTTGATCTTCTATTCGAAATGAATGTTGGCTTTCTTTTCGTATGTTGGCTTTTTTTTTCTCCTTGCTACTCACTCAATGAACGTTTTGTGATTGTTGGCAGCTATGTTGCGTAATTAACATTAGATTATTGCTTTTTACAAAAAAATAAATGACAATAAAAAAGTTGTCACTGCCAACAAGTTTCACTAGTGACACCAGAAAGTCGTCACTTTTTATGGATGGAAAACAATGACAACAAAAGTCGTCACTGAACGGAAGCATAATGTGACAACTCCAAGGGTTGACTATGACAAGAATTTAGCCAGCTTAGTGACAATAAAAGTCGTCACACAATGTACAACAATGAGTGACGACAAGAGTCATCACAAAAGCGAAATCGTTTGTGACGACTTTCAACAGTCGTCACATGGACCCCCTTTTGTGACATAGAACTAGTGACAGCTCTATGACAGCAGTAAAAGTCGTCACTGACTTTTTTTGTGACGACTTCTGAATTTTTAGTGACGACTTTTGCCTGTCACAGAAACGCAATTTTCTTGTAGTGAGTTTTCCAATTCAACACAAAGTGGCAAGGGACAAGGGCTATAAATTCTCTTTTTTTTTTTTTGTCAATCGTCAACCCTACTTTTTATCATACTCTATTCTAATCTAATTGCGGGGGAGATCTAACTGGGCCTATGAAGGGATCGATGGGGACAGAACCACCGGACAAGGGCTATAAATTCTCGTTTTGGATTAAAGGCCAAAAACTATCCAGGCTCACACGAGCGGGCTCCACTTGGTCAGAGATCAGATAAGTATGAGCTTGCACAAAGTGATAACGTCAATTAACTTTATCTATGTTGTTTTCGTGCAGCCTACGTATCTATTCATTTGTTAACGCAAGTTGACAAGAACGGGTCAATTTTTCACAAGAGGTTGTCAAATTTTGTGTGGATGTAAGGACTGTGCTAATGAATGATTTGTAAGAATTTTTATAAGTCATTTATGGTTCCGGACACATCTATTGTCGATGTAATAATTGTGTTAATAGACGATTTGTAGAACTTTTATAAGCGACCCATGGTTCTGGAGGCTATGTTTTCATACTCGGACCGGGTATTGACTTGGTTGAATTCAGGAGGCAGGGGTCAATAGGTTCGATCGGATTTGATAGGAGTTAAACCGGATGATGTCATAAATAAAAATTATTTAAAAATTAAAATATTATATGTAAAATACTTAAGAACATGTTAATATTAATAAATATATATATTCATATATATTTGATGTTTCAAATATATTTAACAAGAAAATACAAAAAAATTAGAATGATCAAGTCACATTTTAGATTATTTAATGAACATTAACAAGTTTAGAATTAAAATTATGGATTTAATTGAAAAATAAACACTGAACTTTAGGATAACATTTATAAAATATGAAATATTTGAAATATATTAATAATTTTTAACAATATAGGGGCCAAAACATAATATTGAAAATATTTTGATCTTTAAAAAAAAAATTGGGCGGCAGGACTGAGGCTGAGGTCTCCAACTCATGCCAATGTCAAGTATCTACTTCAATTAAGAAGGCCGCCATTATATCTTTCCATCGGGCCCACTACGATTCCCACCGTTGGCGACTTGAAAGTTGGAGACTTCTTTTAGTACAAATTGGAAGAAATGTAAAGCCGAAACTTGACACCTCATCAAGTTTCTTTCAGCGTTCCACCGGACCTTTGATATCAAACCGGTTCATCCGTTTGCCGGTCAAACCCAATTTTTGACCGAGTTTTATTGCATCCGATTTTTGGGTAATTCGGACTGGACGCTTGGCCAGTTTTCGGTTCGATCGATTAGACCGGTCGGTCCGGTCCGAGTTTGAAAACACAGTCTGGAGGTGTATCCTGATCTATGGTGGTGATCAGAATTAAATTCACCCAAACTTCTTTTTATCCAAAAAAAATTCACTTACTTTTTAATTTTGATTTTTCTTTTTTCTTTGAGATTGGAAGGCAACACTCAATATTTTTATTTTGGGAAAAGTTGTGCAGAGAAAAAAAACCAAAAAAAGTGCCAGAAAGAGAGAGAGGGAGAGTCCGTCAATAGAAATTTGCAATATTATTCCAAAGAAATTCTTTTGCCAACTTGATTAAATAGCGCAACGGATTTTCTGTCCCATAACCTGTGCCACTCTCTACCTACCTTTTATTATATTGCTATTTTTCTTACATAAATATCATGTTTTAGTTCTTTTTTGTTTCCTTAACATTCAATAACTATTAACTAAATAATACACAAAATTTAACAAACTCAAAAAATAAAATACATAAAAAAGGAGATTTTTAATGAATTTTCTATTGTATTTTTTAATTTTCTATTATATATTACTTTTTTGAACCTGTTGTATTTATTTTTTATTCAATTAATAGTTATTAAATGTTAAGGAAACAAAAAAGAACTAAAACATGATATTTATGTAGGAGAAATAACAATATAATAAAAAGTGAGACAGAGAGTGGCACAGGGTATGGGACAGAAGATCCATTGCGATTAAATAGAAACTTAGTGTATTCCTTTCAGGAATTTCTCCTTTCATTTATTTCGAAAACCTTTCAGTAAAATAAAATTTCGACAGAAGTTTACAACTTTGTGAAATAGTAAAGGTATATTATTTGAACAACATAGGATGTGACAACAATAATTTGTTGAATGGCTTAAAGGGTTTATAAGTAGGGCCGGTTTCTTAGTTCTTGAATCCTTAAATATTTGCATCGTTCTTCATTCAATTGTAAGCTATAGAATCACATCCATATTCTCAATAACAGTTTTCTTTCGAGCATCTTATGGTGTCTTATGAATCTTTCACTTGGAATGCATTCAGCGATTTGGACACATGATTTTGGTTCTCTATTAATATATGTTTCTATAACTTTAGCAATACAAGTCTATTTTTCTTTCTGTTTCCATAGAAGGAAATCAAAAACGAAAAACTCCTCATTCACGACTTTAAGATCTTCTTTCAAATTAGGCTGTAGGTTGTCCAAAGTATGTGACATTGAATTTTTTTTCGAGCCTTATACTATTGAGCTATAGAGAACCTATAAAACTTGAAAAGATCGCTTTTAATGGAAAAGGATAAACTGTTCCATTGGGTAGAATAGTTGTAAGAGACTTGACAAGCATAGTAATACGGTTGAAATGATTAAAGTTGGATACAATATAATACAATGTCTCAGTGTACTTTTCAAAATGTCCATTAGTTTTTCTTATTTCAAGTGCTTGTAAATTTGGTTCTATGCACGTAATAGATAGTTACTATAAAGGCAAGAAGCAAGAGGAAAGAATCATCAACCGCAGTAGTATCAAGAAGTGAAGATCGGGTTAGCGATGACTTGATGAATTATAGATATGTAGGCGGCCCTGAAAAAGTTTCTTTTAAGTTGACAAAAATGAGATTCCTAAGGAAAAGAAAATTGTGCTGAATCACCTTCTGAACAATAAAAAAAAAAAAAGAAACTTCTAAACAACCCCTCTGCCACCTTAAGTCCTGGATTACCTTCTGAAAAACCATCTGAGTTAAGTGTAAAATCAGCAGCAGGTGGACTGATCCATCTCACAGGAATCGGCCTAAGTTTCTTCTTGAAAGAAGAGGCTGACTGGTAAAATTGCACCCAAGATGTAGTGACAAATCCAATTCCTTTGAACTCGAGAGCACATGGATTAGCAACACCCTTAAAATTTTGTTAGCAAAGATGATGATGAGTCGAGAAACGCCCTTCAGAAAATGCCTCATTCCCCACCTTCCATAAATGCTAGCAAACGAAGATAAGTACTACTCTATATATAAAAACCTGTGAAGGGTTTGTAGTTGGTTGCAACCACCAATTAACTAGCAGAACCCAAAGGCAAAATGCCAGCCACACCTTCAAAGAAACTCCATACTAAAGCAGCAAGTTGCCTATCACTAAATGCATGATCAAAAGTCTCTAAAGCTGGATTTTCCCGACACCAACACTTAGACTGACCATGGATCCCAAACTTAGTGTATCAAGCACAGACAAACGATTAAATAAGCACCGAAGGATGAAAAAAGAAACCTTTAAAGGAATACTCGAGGGCCAAATACCCACAAACGCCAAGGAGGATTTCCTTGCTTTTCTCACTAGGTGAAGACGAAGACATGGAGAACTTGTCTGCAGATGAAAGAGACCAAACCATATCATCATTAGCGTGAAAGGAGGGAGGAGAAATCTGTGAAACCTGACTAACCACAACCGAATGCAGTGACTGGTTTAGCAGATTTTGATCCCAAACTCCATCTCGAACAAAGTCTATTACCCGATGATCTGCAATTACTGATGCAGTATTATATAAAGGACCTGTATGATCCCAATTATCAAACCAGAACTTAACCAAGCCATCTTTCAAAATCCAAAAAATAGCCCCCTCAGCTAAAACTATCATTCATTTCCAATTTAAAGAACTGTTCAAAGAAAACCCACCAATTTCCAATTAATATCTGTGGAACTAAGCATTCAAACTCTTTTCTGTGAACATTTTCACATACCTTTTCACCAAAAAAGGGGGGAATAAAAAAGACATGTATGAAGTCAAGTGATTTGGCCAATGTAGTGATCTGAATTATACTCATAACGTAAATGAAATAAGCTATGCAAGTTCACTGATTATTAACAGACAAAATGACTTTAAATTAGTGTTCAGATTATTTTTTTTGAAAGCACGTTTATTGAACGTAGAAGAAATATTCCATAGCTTCCATTTTACAAAGAACAGTATTTTAAATAAGAAACTATTTAAACACCTGATGTTTTTCCCAGATGAAACAAGCATGAACAATAGCATTAATACTTTAAAACTTGGTTCAAGAGATTTTGTACATTTTTGTTAAATCTCATCAGAGAATTTCACAGTATTGGGCAACTAACAATTAATAATAAAATTCAGTTGAATTTCGAATCCAAATTGTACTTTACAGGGCAAATAAATTGGCATCTCATGATTTCTTTTATGAGCAATCATATCCCCCCATGCAGGAATGGTTCCTGTTTTGGGTTGGACTTTTACCTGGCGCCTGAAGTCTTGCAGCCACTGCAAGTACTCAACCTGCAGTGAGAGCTGGTCCTGTTTATGGAATAACTAGTTGTCTCCTTCAACACCCAGCATATAAGGACAGTATCTATCTATTCCACCTGCCGCAGGTCCTTCAGGTAGCATCCACAAGAAGCATGCAGTTTCAGAAAGTCCTGGCCAACCTGAATGCCAGTATTATATGAAAACTGGGTACTGTAAATTTTGGCCTTTCTGTAGATATCATCACCAACCTGAATGGAGTGCACAGAAGGCAAATCTTGTCCTTAGCCTCAAGGGTCTACCTCTACGTCCGGGTGTTGGCTGTTTGTCATCACTATTTACAAAATGAAGTATCCAAATTTGGGCGTTCATGCATGTTTGATCACCCAATGGGGTCTCTAAGCTATAGTCCATCTGCATCTTCTCTTGCTGATGTGCCTGTTGCTCCTTACGCTGTTGGATCTTCAATGGGTACTCTGGCTCCATCATCCTTCTCATTGGACTCGAGACCTGAACTTAATTTGTCATCCAGTAAGGATGCCTTCTCCAGTTGAATGTCTTCTGTGAGGGTTCCAGTGGTTTGGTTAGTTCATTGTTTTCAAAGAGCGGTATACTCCCTCACCTAAAGGCTTAGCAGCCTGGACAGGGAATCTCTACTTCATGTGGCAGCAGTAGTACAGTACATGGAAGTGAGGCTTGAACATCAAGCTGAGCAAAGTGAAGCTAAGCCATTACAATCTTTTTGTGGATAACTCTTATCGACCCAGTGATATATTTTTGATGCAAATCACTTCCTAGGAGGTTGTTTCTCATCAGTCATCATGTTTGGTCAATCAGGTCTGGGAGATTGTAGCTCAGTAATCTGTGCTCACATAAATCATTACTTGGTCACCATTTCCATTTTCAATAAGCCATGCCTACTTCAAATTATCCAACAAACTGGTATAGCTTCATGCTGGTTTGAATAACAAGAAAATACCCACCTCAGGTTTTGAAATTCTTCACGCAGCCCAAGTTTTGGAGCTTCTTGTCAATTGTCCCCATTCTTTCACTGTTAGTAAAACAATTATGTGCTGCCTCTATCCCAAATTTAGGACATTTCTTGAGACTACAATTTTTTAGGAAAAATCGTTCAAAACGTTTCTCATATTTTACAAAATGACTTTTTTAGTCCCTCACTTTTAAAAGTGTAATTTTACATCCCTTACAAATTCATATTGGTCAAATTTGGTCCCTACCTAGATTTCCTACTAGTTTTTTATCGGAAACCACCATGTGCCTTGCACGTGATCATTTTTTATGGGCAAAATTATGAAATTAAATTTTACATAATTCGATTCATAGTCCCTCACATTTCACAAAATAAATTTTTTCGTTCCTCACATTTCACAAAATGAATTTTTCGTCCTTCACATTTTTCAAAATGGATTTTTTCATCCTTCATTGATCATGTGTGCGAATAATTTTTTTTAAACACATGTATATATCTATTTAAATTCACCTGAGCAGTTCGAATATCATGTAATATATTTTTATTTGATTTCACCTAGCGAAATCAAATAGAGATATATTACATACTATTCATATTGTTCACTCATATTCATTTCATTTTACTCAAAAATTGAAAACAAAGAAGACATTTAATCCTAAACATTATCGAGTATTTATGTCGAATTAAATTTGGACACAAAAAATAAACAAAGGAAAAGTATGACAAAAAGAAGTAACTGATTAGCACTTTCAAATTTTAATACAATCACAAGGCAAGTAATTCAACTATTGGTTTTAAAAGTGGCGAGTAGAAATTTTAAATTTAAACTGCAATTTGTTAGTACAACTATAGAATTTAAGTTAGGATCCATTAATTAGATGACCTTATTATACAACTCAATAAATAAATTATTACCAAAAGAGAAATGTTACAAATATTGAATAGGTTCACATGGTAAAATCATTTAGATATATGTATGGTTTAAAACAAAATTGTTAGTTTTAAACCCCCGTATATATATATATATATATATGTTGAATAGCATGTATACAACTACGATTGGCCTATTTTAGTGAAATCAAATAAAGATATATTACATGTTACTCATACTGTTCAGGTGAAATCAAATAGATATATATATATATATATATATATGGATTTAAAGAGAAAAAAAAAACTATTCATACACATGATCAATGAGAGATGAAAAAATTCATTTTGAAAAATATTAGGGATGGAAAAATTCATTTTATAAAATGTGAAGGATGAAATAATTCATTTTGTAACATGTTAGGGACGAAAAAATTCATTTTGCAAAATATAAGGGACTATGAATCGAATTATATAAAATTTGATTTGATAATTTTGCTCTTAATAAATGATCATGTATAAGGTACTTGGTGGATTCTAACAAAAAATTAGTAAAAAATCTAGGTAGGGACCAAAATTGATCCATATGAATTCATAAGGGACGTAATATTACACTTTTAAAAGTGAGAGACGAAAAAAATCATCTTGCAAAATGTGAGAGACGTTTTGAACGATTTTTTTAAATTTTTAATATACAGTAGATCATTATGGACAACCGAGATTTTGCTTCCAAATTTGCGCCCGTAGTCAGATAATGTTTGTTTTTTCTATTTTATAATAAATCCAAGGGTCCATCCTCCACACATGCATTTTTTAAAAACCAACATAAGCCTTGCCATTAGATGTTGTTTTGCACACACCACTAGATTTTCCAAATGGGTACTTAATAGTGGGTCTTACTAAAATTTTTAGTAACTTCTGTGACATGCACCTCTGAGGGTAAAGAGATGAAAAGTTTGGAAGGAAATATTGTAGCATGACTCCAATTGGGGATGGTAAAAAAGTGAAACATGACATTAACAATAATAACACGGAGGGTGTAATTGATTTTGATCATTTGTGTAGTTTCTTTGTAAGTTAATATCAAGATTAGCCTTTAAAGCAGCAAGTTACAAGTAATATTAGAGATGGCAACGTTACATGCGACATACGTGATATCAAACTAGTATGTTTTAGTAAATATATTATTGTTTACAAACTTCACATGAAATTACAAAAGAAAAGCTATGAAGAAACATATAAGAATCACTTGACTCTTACTTGAGTTCCTTTGCAGTCATCACAAAAGATTCAAAAAGGAACAAAATTCAAGTAAATATAGGTTTCTTTATCTCCGCTGTGAATGGTACTCCCAACAGGGGCAGCTGTAGTTTTGATGTTTTTTTCTGGAGTGGTCTATGGTATGTTTTAGACTCTGAGTCTAGTATCATGTGACTGTAAGAATTTTATGAATCTTAGGTAATTTTGACGATGGTCTATTAATGCTTGTTTGGTTGCTTTATGTGCTGCTGCTCTATGTTTTGCTCTTCTAGTACTAATCCGTGTCAATGAAAGACAATTAGTATGAAAATTACCCTCAAGCCATGGATGTAGGGCACAGGTAAACACTTCAAGCAAACCAGTCTCAAAGAAGGTACCTCATCGTTGCATCCCCTCAAATTTTTAGAAACCTCTTTTTTATGATATAAATAATATTGTGGTGTCTTAAACTGGTTATATTATAATATTTTTCGCCCACTCAGACTACAAGACTTATATATTGCCCTCCCTCAAGAAAAATAAAAGTTTACTGATGCCTGGAGAGAAGGGAACATGAGTGCAGATTGTTTGGCCAAGGAAAGCTCGAGTCAAGGACCAGGATTATATAATGGTGGTGGCAACACCTGTTTAGTTTCAATGTGAAGAGCTTGGAGGCTCTCCAATGCATCCAAAAATAAAACTAGATCAATCAATACCCAATTTTCCAATGAGAAACAATTGGAACAGAATAAAAAAAGAAGAAAAAAGGTAATAGATGCATAAAAGGTCAAAAAATACCATGTTAGACTTAGAGTTATATGGAAGCATTAGCCAAATACAACTGGCATATCTAAGGAAGAAACAAGCTAGTTAAAAATGAACAGCGAGAAAAGACTTATAGTGTTTCTTTTTTAGCTAAATTTGATTTATTTCTTTTTGTGTTTGGTTGATTATCAACTAATTTACTCTTGTATGATTTGCAATTGTGTAACTTCTGTGACATGCACCTATGAGGGTAAAGATGAAAAGGTTGGAAGGAAAAATTGTAGCATGACTCTAATTTAGGGATGGTAAAAATGTAAAACATGATATTGACAATAATATGGAGGGAGTTTAACTGATTTTGATCATTTGTATAGTTTCTTCGTAAATTAATATCAAGATTAGCTTTTAAAATAGCAAATTATAGATAACATTTAGATGGCAATGTCACGTGCGACATACACGTGGTATTAAACTATTATGTTTTAGAAAATATATTCTTGTTTACCAAATTCACATGAAATTACAAAAGAAAAACTATAATGAAACATATAAGAATCGTTTGAGTTTCTCTCAATAGACACAACAAGAAAGACCCTTACTTGAGTTCCTTTGCGGTCACCACAAAAGACAATAAGGAACAAAATTCAAGTAAATAGAGGAGGTTTCCTTGTCTCTGCATTGAATGGTACTCACAATAAGGGCAACTGTTGTTTTGATGTTTTGTCCTTGAGTGGTCTATGGTACATTTTAGACTCTTTAGTCTAGCATCGATCTAAGGTAATTTTGACGATGGTCTATTGATAGCTATTGTCAGTTATTGTTTTTTTTTTTAATGCTTTTTTGGTTGCTTTATGTGCTGCTGCTCCCTGTTTTGTTCTTGTGGTGCTAAACTGTGTCAATGAAAGATAATTAGTATGAAAATTACCCTCGAGCCATGAATATTGTGCGCAGGTAAACACTTAAGCAAACCTCATCATTGTATAATTGGTATTTTCTTTAGTTCAACCTTCTTTGACAACTTAATTTCCAGCAAACTTGATTTCGAGTTTAGACCGAGTTGAATAGATTAATACAAAATTACTATGGGTAACTTCTTCATCCTTTGCACCTTTAATCATCGACTTTTTTACAGCCTTCATAGCCTTTGCATTCAACTTCACGCTGAACAAGTAAATATTGATGCTGTCATTTTTTCTCCACCTAAAATAAGGCTTATCCACAAAATTCCAATTACCAAACAGGCCATTAGCTTGTCTCACACTGGATTCTTCCAGTTTTTCCCTCTTCAATTTTCATAAACTGCAACATTAACAATTTCAGCTCCACAATTGGAGTCCACCTTGCCTTTTTTCTCTTATATCCACCAGGTCCTTATCACATGGAATACCATAAGTGAAGGAGGATATCAAAACCTTAAGGATCAAATATCTTTATTTCCCCATCTGTATTCCTAATTTTACCTCTTACAGGAACACCTACTCACTACTCCTTCTCTGCCTACTTTCGAGTATTAACTGATGCATTTTGATCAGAAGTAGAGCCACATACTCAGGAGGGTGGGCAATTGCATCCCTTCAAATTTTTAGAAACCTCTTTTTTACCTTATAAATAATATTATGGTGTCTTAAACAAGGTATATTATAATAGTTTGCACCCACTCAAACTACAAGACTTATATATAGCACTCCCTCAAGAAAAATAGAAGTTTACACTTACCTGGAGAGAAGGGAATATGAGCGCAGATTGTTTGGCCAAGGAAAGATTGAATCAAGGCCTAGGAAGTTCTTGAACCAGGATATAATGGGGGTGGCACCACCCCGTTTAGCCTCAATGTAATGAGCCTGGAGACTCTCCAATGTATGCAGGATCATGCTCGAAGGCCGACAAAAATTGAAGACTGAAGCTACAATGGTTTGACTTTAATCATTGATTTATATATTTTGACAAAATTATTAAGGATCCAGGGCTTCTGTAGTTACCAGTAGCAATTGCACTATATAGTATAGACTCGGATATAACAAATGTAAATACTGAACAAATTAATGTAGACATTAAGACAACAATATGCAAAGGAACAACAATTTTTGTCAGTTATTGAAACTGTCCTTACAAATTCAATTCCAATAATCTAATTTTAAATCACTACATTTTTTACAATGAACTATTCCCTGCAATCGCCATTGTGATTTTGATTGTAGAGGATCTTGATCCCACAAGTTAGGGAGTCAAGAGATGGGATTCAGATGCTTCATTAGTCCAAGTTTGAGCCGATTTTCTGCACTGGCTTGATTACCAAATCAATTAAATATCTGTGGAACTAAGGATTCAAATTCTTTTTTCTAACCGTTTTCATATTCTTTTTTCAAAAAAAAAAAGGACATGTATAAAGTCAAGTTGTTTGCCCAGTATAGTGATCTAGATCATACATTTAACGTAAATGAACATTAATAAATTATGCAACTATGCAATTTGACAAGTTGTTAATAGTTAATTAAACAAGATGACTTTAAATTAGTATTCAATCTTCTTCTTTTTTTCTTTCTTTTTTTTGGATGAAAGCACGTTTGTTGCATGACGTAGAAATGTTCACTAAATTCTGTACTATAAAGAACATTATTTTAAATAAGAAACTATTTAAACACCTAATAATTTTCCCAAGTCAAACAAGAGCAAACATGGCATTACTTGTTTAAAACTTGGTTCATCAGATTTTGTACATTTTTTGTTGAATCTCATCTGTGACTTCTACGGCATTGAGCTACTGACAATCTCAAAATTCAAGTGAATATCGAATCCAAAGTTTACTTAACAATGCAAGTAAATTGAACAGGAGTTTCATGAAAATTACTTCAAACCTTGAGTTTTGCGCACAGGTAAATGCATGGTCCCGTGCTGCTTCCCCCAGGTATATATGGTTCCTGTTCCAATGCAAGTACCCAACCTGCTGTGGAAGCTGGTCCTGTTTATGGAATAACTCAAATGTCTCCTTCAGCTCCAGCTGCTGGTCCTTCAGGAAGCAGCCAGAAGGAACATGCATTTCCCCAGAGACCTGGCCAACCTGAATGCCTGTATTATATATATGGAAACTGGGGACTGTAAAGTTGGGGGTTTTTGTAGATATCATCACCCACCTGAATGTAGTGCACAGATGGCAAATCTTGTCCTTAGCCTCAAGGGTCTGCCTCTACAGTCGATCTGCATCTTCACTTGCTGCTATGCCTTGCTCCTTTCCGAGTTGGATCTTCAAGGGTACTTTGGCTCCATCATCCTCCTCATCGGACTTGAGGACTGAACTTTTTTTTTGTATCCAGCAAGGATGCCTTCTCCAATCGAATGTCTTCTGTGAGCGGTTCCTGTGGTTCTGTTGGTTCATTGTTTTCAAAGAGAAGTATAGTCCCTCAATCGCTCAGCAGCTTGGATAGCATGCTTGGCCATTGCAGGTCGCGGTCACGGTTGTTCCATATCCGTCATCGTATATCGATTAGATATCGGATGATACACACATTACAGCACATAAAATTTTTTAAAATTCTGAAAAAATTACTAAAAATAAAAAATACCATAAAATACACCATCTGAACAAATATTCGAGTCGACTCCGAGTTAACTAGAATATTTTGGCTGATTTCATGTATCACGAATTCGAATCGGTTAATATTGGTCGAGTTAGAGCGAGTCGCTGCAGATATAAAATTATTCATAATTCAGGAATCAGTATCGTATCACTTGCCTCTGTTCCCAGTTATGACTTGGTCGAATCGTATCGAACTCGGCCGAGATGGCTAATCATGCTGGATAGGGAATCTCTACTTCAAATGGCAGCAGTAGTACAGATGTGGAAGCGAGGTTCGCACATAGCAAAGTGAACATAAGCTACTACAATCTTTTTGTGGATAACTCTCATGGACCCAGAGATATATTTTCGATGCAAATCACTTCCAATCATTACATGTTCCGTCAATCAGGTCTAGGAGATTGAAGCTCTGTTAATCTGTCCTCATAAATCATTACATGGCCACCATTTCCGTTTTCAATAAGCCATGCCCACCTCAAATGATCCAACAAACCTGGTACAGCTGGATGCTGGTTCTGAATAACAAGAATAGCCACCTCACAGCCCAAATTTTGGAGCTTCTTGTCAGTTGTCCCCATTTATATTGGAATCTTTTTCGGAAACAAATTTGACTGTCTTCAAGGCCATTCGTCAAATTTGGAAGCAAGCTTCCAACTTGACTTAGGAATGAACAAAAATATCTCCTTGTTACTCACTTTTTTATTTTGTATGGGGCGTTTTTGTGCAAATTATTACAAAAGGGAACTGCAAGAAGGCATTTGGAGAACTGCCTTGATATGTATAATTATTACATAAACCAGTATCAAAGAAGGTACCTCATCATTCTATAGTTGGTATTTTCTTTACCTCAACTTTCTTTGACAACTTGCTTTCTAGCCAACTTGATTTCCAGTTTAGACAAAGTAGAATAGAAAAATACAAAATTACTATCGGTAACATTTCATCCTTTACACAATTAATCCTCAACTGTTTCACAACCTTCACAGCCTTTACGTTCAACTTCTTGCTGAACAAGTAAATATTGGTGCTGCCATTTTTTCTCCACCTAAAACAAGGCTTATCCACAAAATTCCGATTACCCAACAGGCCATTAGCTTGTCTCACATTGGATCCTTCCAGTTTTTCGCTCTTCAATTTTAATAAACTGCAATGTTAACAATTTCAGCGCCACAATTGGATTCCATCGTGTTCTTTCTTCTCTTATATCTACCAGGTCCTTATCAGATGGAATACCCTAATGATCAAATATCTTTTTTTTTTCCGTATGTATTATAAATTTTACCTCTTAAAGGAATACCTACTTACTACTACCTCTCCATCTCTGCCTACTTTCGAGTATTAACTGATTAATTTTGATCAGGGTAAGAGCCGCATACTCATGAGGGTGGGCAATTCCTTCCCCTCAAAATTTTAAAAACTTCTTTTTTACGCTATAAATAATATTGTGGTGTCCTAATTTAGTACTCAATGTTTTAAAAGGTGAAGGTGTTGGGGGGATCATTTAGTATCCGCCCCAACGGGGCGAAAGACCTGAGGTGTGAGGCATAAGCCCCGCGAATTTTTTTTTAAATATATATAAATATGATATGTATTATAAAAAAGTCATTTGAAGATATAAATAAACAGAATAATTAACTGCATGTTTATCAAAGTTAATATTCAAGCACTTAAATTACAAACACATAAAGCAGAATAATTAAAATTACAAAAAGTTGAATTTTAGAAACGAACTAGTCAAAATTCAAAAGTCACGACATTATGGAGCACTTAAATTACAAACACATAAATTGAAGTAGACACAAACTTCAAAGGTTAATTGTTTCAATAAACACACTTAACTAGTATCACGAGTACCAAATTAGCAACCATATTGCTTATAATACATAACAAGGAATAGCAACAATAATTAGAAATAAACTGACAAATAAAATAATACTATTCATCAAAGTCAATATGATTCATGTCATCATCTTCATATAGTGTATATATACTAGGTAATTTTCTTCCAATAGTTGATGGTAATTCTGGAATTTCCATCCCATCATAGGATCCAATCTATAGGTAACAATCTCTTTTCCTTTACCTTGCTTGCCTAACCATATATTATATTTCAAATAAATTAATATCAAATTCACTCAATGTCTCAATATAAAAGATAGTAAATTAGTAATAAAATTGAATATTAAAAAGTTAAAAATTTAATTGATAAAGTTAAATCTTTTTTTTTTGAAACAATTTGTAGGGTGTATGCTTTTAATGCCTCACATCAGAGGCGTGCCCAAACGTACACCCCACAACACTTTCGCCTTATACGATCAACCAGGGGCAGTATTGGAACGCAATGCCCCAGGACTTGCCGCGCGAATACCTTTTAAAATATTGTTAGTAATATTATAATAGTTTGCATCCACTCAAACCCAAAGACTTATATATTGCATTCCCTCAAGAAAAATAGAAGTTTACTCATACCTGGAGAGAAGGGAACATGAGCGTGGATTGTTCGGCCAAGGAAAGATCAAGTCAAGGACCAGGAGTGAAATGATTGCTGACTCCTACTGAACAACTAAGGAAGTTCTTGAACCTGACTCCAACTGAACAGCTAAGGAAGTTCTTGAAACAGGATATAATGGGAAACAAGTGGAAGAAAATAAAAAATGAAGCAAAAAGGCAATAGATGCATAAAGGTCAAAAAATACCATGTTAGACTTCCACAGAATGAAAAATACCATAAGGAAGAAACAAGCTAGTCAAGGGAAAGCATAAAAGTGAACAATAAGAAAGGACTTACACAGAATGAAAAAGATCAATTTGATACGGTATTAGAAAATGTACTTAAGAGTGTTTCTTTTTTTGCTAAATTTGATTTATTTCTTTTTATATTTGGTTGATTATCAACTAATTTACTCTTTTATGATTTGCAATTGTGTAACTTGTTTGGGTCTTTTTTAATATAACATATCTATTGCACAACAAAGATATAGAATTGACCAGTTCTCACAGAAGATCTTGTTATTAAGGAAAAGTTACCATTTTGGTCTTTTGTTTTCAAGGCCTTGGGCAAATGTTTTCAATCTTTTATCTTCAAACAAATTAGAAATGTAAATTGCTATACAGTAAATTTAGAGGAGCTAACGGAGGAGTCATGGGAACCGCACGTACACTTTTATACTTCCATTTCCATTTAGAACAAAATTTACATCCCATTCAAGCTCACAAATGAAAAAGTACATGATAAGAACTGGATTGAGTTGATTACATAGAACCAACATGCCATAAAGGACACAAAGGAAATTGCACTGAGTTAGTGTATCCACTTTCAGTACATACAAGATTAATATAGTATTTGTTTTAAGAAAAAGGACATAGTAATGGTCATACAAGCTATCTCAGGGAGTAAAAGTCTCCTTATTTATTACTACCTTAAGAGACAAATTTTTGGTTTCCGTCTACTCCATCTTCCATTTCTGAAAAGATCCACGTCCCGTTTGCCTGCAATAATAGCTCTTCAAACTGTTCTCCAGCAGCTGCCAATTCGTTGGTTCCCTGTCCGACAAATAAATTCAAATGTTAGTGGCAATTAATGTTTACTTACATATGACTAAGCTTTTCAGTGAGCCCCATGAAACTACACAAACTATATTAGTACCAACCTTGTGAGTCTACATCATTATATATCTTCATAGAAATACTTCTTAAAAGCATTAATATGTTCTACTTGCAGGCGCAGTGGGATAATCAACGATCCATCCCCATTAGGACCAGGAATAAGGAAGAGTCTTCCATCATAACCTAATGACCCAGGGGTCATGGAAGTTGCTTCTCCCCCCCCAAAATTGACTTTGTACACGTCCAGCCCAACCCAACTAGTAATAAGCAAATTGGGATTTCCAAAGAACAACCCCTGTGCACAACCAACAGTGTGAAAATGTCGACTGCTAGATACCTCGGGCATGTTCTTCATACAAGCAAGATATGACCTTACATACTCATCTGTAACCTTGTCTATTGCTTCCTTAATTTTGCTTGAAGCATAGCTTGGTGGCCTCGATTGGAGATCACCTGCAATAGCTCTTGCTGGCACAGGTAAGACAGCATTTCCAAAGTACCTTCCGGGCAAGGGTGGTTTAAGCCGACTGCGAAAATCCACAGTCACATATAGAACAGTTTCTTGGTCGGGGCTGTGCATACGGGCCTTGGATAAGCACTTCCATATATGCGCAGATACAGCTACAAACCGGCTAAATGGCGGATGATTGCTAGTTTTGTGAACCAAATCGTGGTGGTTGTTGACGTTGTTCTTGAGCTGCTCAATTTGTTCTTTACTTAACGGAAACATGGCACAGGTAGTAGCCTTTTTACGCTCTTCTAAGCTGCTAGACTGGCCTATCAGGACGGGTAGTGGGTAAAAGTCCGAGTATTGTAATTTTGGAGCTATTGACGATGGGTACTCTTCATATTGTTGAAGAATTGTACGATCTAGGTATGGTTGATCATCAGATTTTTCACCGCGTGCAATCTTTGCCCATTCGGCAGCAAAATGACACCCGCTTTGACCGTCCACAATGACATGTGACACGGCCAAGCCTAAAGAAACACCACCACAGGCAAACCTTGTGATTTGCCCTAGAAGGAGCGGTACCTCATGAAGGGGAGTATTATTGTAATCTATAGGTGGGATCAGGGCACTGATTTGTGGCGATGGGCAAAAGTCTCCAAAATCCTCGATTTTGAGCTCAGATTGAGCTTCAAGAAGTAAAGCGCCCATGGAATTGCAACGCAGCTCAACTCGGCCTCCATCTTTCTGGAATAAACGTCCAGCAAGAGGATAAAAAGCTGCCAAGGCTTCGCTTAATGAGTCTTTCAAAACCCTAGTGGCATCTTTTAGCAATTCTGGATTTTCTGGCTTGTAAAAGTGAACGATGGTTGCATAAGTCAAGGGTTTACATTGATCACACTCAGATAAATACATTACTTCTGGTTTTGCTGGTTTGACAATGTGAGAGGCTATCAAGTTAACCATTGTGAGAAGGAAAGAGGATGAGATCTAACTAGTGAGAGTTGGAGAAAGGAAAAATGTGTGGCAGGGAAATTTCTTGTGAAAACGAAAGAAATGAGGGTGAGACTTTTTGGTTGTGGTAGGGCGCATGCTTATATAGGCCCGAGGTTTATATCTCATATGTCAAGATTGTGAAGGTTATGATACAGGGGAAAACAAATGGTTACATTGCAAGAAATTCCAAACTCTCGTCTCAAGGACTCTGCTTTACATGTATCCATTGCTCATGATTTGGTGCATCGAATTCAGAATCAATTTTTGATTGGCATATTAATTTGATGCGATAGTCCACCTGTAAATCTAATCTTTACTTTGTGGTTTTCTCCAACAGATGATACACGTACAGCTTTGAAAAATTGCTCCATTGTAAAATATCTTCGAGCGGAAAGTATCTTCCAGGAACTTTGTTTCCAAGAAAACATTAAAATATCTTAAAGAAGAAAATATGGGGTGAAAATCCATAAAAGTTCAGTCCACAAAGAATTAGTGAAGGAGTACAAATGCAACAAAAGACGAAGCTTCATATTTGTGCTTACAAATGCAACAAAAGATGAAGCTTCATATTTCCGCTTTGACGGGGGACCACGGATATGTCGTTTTGGGTAGCTTTGCTGTGATTGAAGCAAAATTTTCAATGACAATGACTCTCCAACATTCTCCACTGAACTTTCTCCATGTTATGCTTTTAGCACTACTAGTAATGGAACACATGCTTTGCATGTGATCATGATGTTTCTATTTTTTTCTTTAAAATTTTAGAAAATTAATTATTTTGAAGGAATAAATGTAATTGAGAAAAAAAAATGTGATATTTAATATTTATATTATTTTATATTTTTTCTGACCTTGATCTGCCCTAACCAATACATATGGATAATCAATAAATTATTTTTTGTTCCAAGAGCACCTTTAGTTTATAACAATATCAATATTTTTGTCTTTTAGTTAAATTTAGATGACCTAAATGTTCTTTTTTATGCCATTTAATTTTTAATTTTTAATTTTTTGAATAATTTGTTGCTTCCCTTTAAGTCATTCTATGAATCGTTTATTAGTTTTAGTGAGATTTTCTAATAATAATTATTTTTTGCTAATGATGGATTGTAATATGATCTATAGAGCTATTATAATTATAATAGTATTTAAATATACTGAAATTCCATTGTTTGAATTTAAATAGTTTAACTTTGAAGAGAAATGTTTTGATTTGGTGAAAATTATTTATATTTCTCACTGATGACATGCTTTAGGATTATAGAGTTTATATGATTAAAAATTGTAATATGTTAAAATTATTTATTATATAATAGTCAAACTAAACTTGGATATATTTTTATTCACCTTTGAAGTACTCCTTGAAATTGATATTTTATAAAACAATATTTTTTGGCTTAATTTACCATAATTCAAAGGGATGTTTCACCTTTGTAATTATTATAATGATTGGCATTGATGAACATAATATTCATTAATTGTAGTTTAATATTGTTAATTGTTACAAGAATATGATTGATAAAGTTCATTAAATTTAATCTTTATTGCAATTTAAATAAATAATTCCCAACATAAAACTCTTTACCTAGCTTGGTACTCCATTTACTATTATATTTTGTATTAAAGAATTTTTACTCAATCCTAATATACTCATATTAAAAAAGTGCTCTTAAGACTTAATTTACTTGTATCCAAGAAATAATAAGACTTGTGGAACTTTTTAAAAGATTTATAATACCAATTTATTATGTTTTGTTTCATGTTTGAGGTATTCTCTAAACTTGGATTTTGTAAATAAAATTTGTTCTTCTTTCTTTTGGTAAATAAAAAAGTAAGGAATATTTCATTTTTGTAACTATTAGCATGTTTGATATTATTTATTAATGATGAAATGTAATGCAATTTATCCCTTTATTAGAGAGGAGCACAATTTTGGCATCACAAAAACTAATATCATTTTTTGCTTACACTATTAACCACTAAGATTCACCATATTTTTTATAATTTATAAATAAAATTTGTTGTTCTTTTTTCGATTTGATTCACTATAACTCAAGGGAATGTTTTTCATTCTCATAATTGTTGACATAATTGACATTAATTATTGATGAAATGCATTGAATTGATTCTTCTTGTTTTTTTTTTTTTGGTTTAATTCACCAGAATCATCACAATTCAAGGAATGTTTCTTTGTAACTGTTAGCATAATTCTTATTAATTATTAAGAAAATGCAATGTAATCTGCCTATTTGTTAGTGTGAAGAGCAATATTAGTATCACAAAAATTAAGATCAATTTTTGCTTACACTGTTATATACTAAAGACTTATCATACTTTTTATATAGTAATAGATAGATAGATATATTTCAATGTCAGCAGGGTGTTAACTGTAAATTGTAGCATGAAGAAATTGCTCATCCATTCTAGATTGCATTTTTTTCAATGATGATTTATAATTACTCTATCTTTTATAAAACTTATTAATTTTTTTCTTTTTCTTCTGTAAAAATTATGAATATGATTCCACTAGAGATCCTCCTTTTATTTCTTTTGTATTTGGTTGTGTATCCCAATTTCAATAGTTGTAAATGAGAGAGACTAAATTCATAACAATTATTAACTAAATTCATAGCAAGTATTGGTATTACCTGAATTTATAGCAATTATTGCGCCAAGTTCAACAACCTATGGAATTGATATGCTAAAGTTAAATAAACTAAAAACTAGAAAAGTACTTTGTAGTAAAACTTTTGCAGTGAAGATGGAGAAAGAGAAAGCCTTTGTTTGCCGAAAATGGAC